CGCGAGTGGAAGTTTTCTTTAAACTAATGGACGTTTGAGTTTTTCGGTTCTTCTGTGCAATTCCTGTGTAGTTGGTGTTTTTTTTACGAGCGATTTCTGAGATATTTATGCTTCACTTGTGCTGCTGTAGACCTGTAGTTGAGTAACTTAGAAATATATTGTTATACAAATTGTTGTTTCATGTGAACATAACTGTCTAAAAAGGAAACTCAGAAGACTTGAAAAATTCATGGTTCTCTTACACAATATTAGCAGTGCAACGTTAAAACTTTTGCACTTTGATACACCAAACCCCTTAACCCAGGCCCAACACACTAACATATCAAACCAAGAAAACCCAAATATACCAATCACATATATTATATATTATATCTATACCTCATCAAACCCTAACCCACAACAAAAACCCCACAACTCAAAAAAAAAAATAAAAAAAAAAAAAAAAAAAAAAAAAAAAAATGAAAAACACACATACCATGAAATCATTATCTTTCTCTAGTAGAAATTCATCAATAATACTCAAAAGGACCTATACTCAAACACACCACCTGCATTCATCCTCTGCCTCTTCGCCCCACCGGCCGACGACCCGTTTTCATAATCACCACCAGACCTCTCCATAACCGACCTGAGCGCTTCTTGTATGGACTTCATACAGTGTTGCCGGTCCACCCGCTCCCGATCCTCATCCTCTTCCTCCTCCTCCTCCTCGCCAGTAATCAACAGTACATTCTTCACTCGTCCTCCGAGTGTCGTGATTTCGGCTCTTAGGGTTTTGAGGTTGAGGGCTTTGAGAGCATTGATAAGACCGGGCAGAAGGTCCGGTCGGTCCTCGCAACATATGGTAGCTCGAACGAGCCACTGCCCATCACTGCCCGAGGCATCGTCCACGGTGAGCTCATCTGCCTCGGTGGGGACAGGGCCCGACTCGGCTATGAGAGACGTTTGCCGTTTGAGCTCCTTCACGTGCTCTATCACCTCGGCTAGCAACGAAGCCTTGTCTGTCTAGGGAGACAAAAAATCTTAATTGATATGAATGATTCTAGTTTGTAGTATCTTTTTTTTATTGCTCTAGGGAGACTAGGCGTGGCCAAGTGTATGTAAATACTAAATATTAGTGTCTGTCAAAAATTGAGGCCAATGACTGACAATATTGCTTTTTTGTCTTGTCTTTTTTTTTTTTTTTTTTTTTTTTTTTT